ACCAGCAAGGGCCAAGTATACTTCCAGCCAGATTGTTTCTCAATACCACCTTGGGTATTGGGTTGTAAATGTTTCTTTACTATTCAAAATAGAACAGCATGGAGATGATGCTTTGGTTTTGGCCAAAACCAAACCAAACAAAACACCATCAGTTTTATACTGCTTTTTGGTTGGATTCCCTATTCCAGAAAAATGACTAAAGCTCTATTTGGGCATTAACTTCCTTCGTTTGGTGATAATTATGTTTGGTTTGGAGGGTGTAGTCAAGCCTAGGACTGTCTCTGTCACCTCAGCTATTATTGTTTTCTCTCTTTCTCTTTTATATGCATCTTTGTTCTCACCCCCCTTTCCCTTTTTCCATTTGTACCACATTATTTCTTTAAAATTGAAATTATTTCAATAAAAATATTAATATTTTAAAAAATCCTGAGTCCATTAGGCAGAAGGTGGGTGGCAGAGCAACTGAATTCATAGCAGTGCCCCAACCAAGTACAGACACCGAACCAAGAATGGATGGGGTGCCCAGTAAGAAAAATGAAACGTTTAGAGGTTTTGGTGACCCCAACCCCACCTCTGTCTTGCGGCTGCATTGATTATCCAATCAGTAGCATCAGGGTCAAAACAGGATCTGCTGCCGCATCTGAACAGGGTTGGGGTGCTGCACACCAGATCGATGCCTTCATGCAAGTTCAAACAAGGGATCGCAGCTGTGTTACTGGAATTTGAACTGATACTAAACTGCACCAGCTGTCAGGCTGATGAGTGACTGATGGAACCGCAGGGGTTTGATGAGCTGGAAGACAGGCCTGGCTCTTTGCTCCCCTTTCCTGGCATACTCTTCTCTCAGCTACAAGCAACTATTCTGCCATGTAAATAAAAAAAAAATATTCCACACGCAATAAGAACAAAAAGATGGAGAGCTTATCCTGCGATACACTTAGCTTGCTGGCTCAAAACTAGTTTGAGTTACTGAGTCTATGCCTTTTCATTTTCATACTCTCTTATATTCAAGAATAATTTATTTTTTTATTTTAATCCAGTGTGAGAAGACACACCATCCTTGACTGTGAGCATATTTTGCTTGAATCCCTAAAGGAATCAAAAGGGAACCTACTGGGCTTGGAAAAGCAGGACCCTCCAGTCAGCCGTCTTGAGCTTCAGAACATTTGGCTTCTTCTCATAGTCTGTCGCCTTCGATGCTAATGCATGGTGCACGCTGACTGCATTCTTAAGATCTTCCTCTGATAAAGCTTTATCTGGTTTGTATTCATCCTGCGGAAGCCCAAATTAAGAGAGTACAAATTATTATATAGTGCCGGTGTTTTTAAAGCCTGATTACATTTCAAAAGAAGGCAATAAACAAAAGTGTTATTTAAAAGAGTCATTAACTTAGCAAAAAACAAACCAACAAACCCATATGCAGCTACAACCCTGTGTATGTTTACTCAGAGATAAATCCCACTGCACTGAGACTTAATAATAATAATAATAATAATAATAATAATAATAATAATAATATTTTATTTATACCCCGCCCTCCCCAGCCAAGGCCGGGCTCAGAGCGGCTTACAAGCAATAATAAAAACAAGATGAATGATTACAACTTAAAAGCAAAAATAAAATACAACATTGAAATAATGGAACATTAAAATATTAAAATGTAGCCTCATCGCAGGAGGAGAAGGAAAAGAAAAAAGAAAGAGGGAGGGAGGGAATCAAATTGGCTCCAAGCCAAAGGCCAGGCGGAACAACTCTGTCTTACAGGCCCTGTGGAAAGAAATCAGATCCTGCAGGGCCCTGGTCTCATGAGGCAGAGCGTTCCACCAGGTCGGAGCCAGAGTTGAAAAGGCCCTGGCTCTGGTTGAAGCCAATCTAACTTCCTTAGGGCCTGGGACCACTAGGGTGTTGTTATTTATGGACCTTGAGGCTCTCCGTGCAGACTTAAGACTGCAATCCCATGCAAACAATTGGGGGTAAGCACTGTTGAACTCTTTGGGACTTTCTTTGGAGTAAATCTGCATAGGATCAACTTATTTAAAAACAAAAATGCTGCTATTTAAATGTTTGGGGGTTTTTTTTTTAGCATTTCAGATTCAAAACAAGCATTTGCAACCTAATAATCTTTAACTGGAGATGCCAGGATTTGAACTTGGATCCTTCTGCAACCAAAACATAAGCTCTACTACCACATCATAATCTCCTAATATTTTCCCAATTACAATTTTCCTAATGTGCAAGACACCGTTGCCTATCATCTGCTAGAGTGATGTGCAATGTTCAAGAAGGAGTTTCTCTATGAAACAGAGAGAGAGAGAGAGAGACTGAGAGATCCTACCATAGCACAAGTTTGGATCGTCTTGTGTTCTTAAGGGCTTAATCACTGTTGGATCTGGCCGTCTACTTTTGAAAACTCTTGATGAGTAAAAAAATAATCCCATACAGTAGGCTGCTCTGTAGCAAGATCCCCTGATCTGCCACTGTGGTTTCCATTTCCCATCCCCAGCAGTGAATGCTTTGCTTATATGACATCTCCAAAGTACATTGTTGGGGGCTGCTTGTTTTTTTAACATTATTAAGGAAAAAATGTCATAAAAACAACTTCCAGTAGCATCCACACTGGTTACATAATGTGTCTTCAGCAGACAGACATTACAGGTCAGCTCTTCATTAAGTCAATTTCAGCTCAGTACTGACCCATAGCAAATTCACCGTAGAACAGCCTGCAGCCAGCATATTAAGAAAGGTAAATCAAAGATTCTTCCGTGTTCAGGAGATGGGTTTTGACTAATATGCTATGTATCCTATATAGGATGGCTAACTGGAAGTCAAAGTATGTTTTTTAGGATGGGAAACAATGCTATAGAAATCAAGCGAGTGGATCTGTGCCTGTGTGCTTGTTAACAGTAGTATGGCAAGGAAAAAACACAGCTCAGGAAACAGAGGAGAAGCTGCTGTGCCTTTTAATAGTTGCGTAAAAGAGAGAATTTCAGGAGGGCCATCTTTTCCCAACCCTACAAGAGAATCTGCTCTTGCTGAAATCCACTCTTCTATAAAACTGTCAATGGTACATGAGTTCTGTCCTCCTCTAAGTCTTATTAGTCTATATAATCTGTCACCTGCTGTTGACAATGGACATGACACCTCGGTTGGTTTTTTTACTGACATTGCTTCTGCTATTAACAGACCTACAATTTTAGTAGTAAATGATTCCAATTCGCGTTTCACAATGAAGGTTGGAGGAGGAAAGTTTTTGACATCAACAGAAAAGATCAAGAAAAGAGATGGGGGTATGTCTGGCAATGAATAAAATCTTTCTGCTTAGGCAGCGGCTCCTTTGGGTCTGGGAGCTTGAGCAATCAATCTCAGGGACTTCACTGGTCCCTTGTTCCCATGGATCTGGTGTTTCCCTAGAGTTTTAGAAGAGGTGTTTACTCAGACATAAACCCCACTGTCTATTACAGGGCCTATTCCAAATAAGTGTACATAGGATTAGAGCCTTGGACTGCAATCCCATGGACTTGTTTTGCATACCCACTTGCGCTCATTTGGGAGAAAGGCGAAATATAAAGGTAACAATAACAGAACTCTCCTGCACTCTTTGTCATGAACAGGCCCCAGCCATTGAGAACCAAGACTGTTCTTATCTGCGCAACCACATTCTGCGTCATCTGTTAACCACACAAGTGATGGAACTTTATGCATTCTTATGTATATTGATATATTTGCTCCACTCCTGAACCCATGGGACACTTGTTGCTAAGTTGTTTAGGAACTGCAGGCAGTTTCAGCCTGCCCCAATCTATGCCACTTAATGCTTTCAGGAGAAAAATCTGGATGTTGCTAGTTCCAATAATCAAGTTGCCAAAAAACAATAGACTCATTCCCTGTCTCACTAAGCTCTTCCAGATGCTTAGCCGTAGTACGGGAAGAATTTCCTGAACTTGATTTTATGGTATTTGTACCAGTGCTTTGTGAGTCGCTGTCCTACAATGTTAGCTCTGACCAAAAAGCTGGCAGTTCCCAGAATTGTTCAAGCTTGCCCCTTACGTATCTTCTACCTTCAGCTTCATTGTAAAGAACCCTGGATGCCCCGTCACACAATTTCTGTGTCTCGTTCCTCTTCACAGCTTACTTCTTCGATTTTCCATTATCCCCCACTGAGAAATTATATTTCAAAACAAGCCCTGTGGCATTAAACATGGCATTTGAAGGCTATGACTTTGCATGTTTGTTCTGTGGGTTGTGTAGATTCATCTTCTCCACTTTTACCATGTTTCTTTTCTTTTCCATTTCAGAAAAGGGAATCTCTGGCATTCAGTGACTAAGCTTGTGGCCGATACAATCTTCAGGCTACAGAAGCAGAGATGAATCAAGGCATTTCTTTTTAAAAAATACTGAGCAGGAAAGCAGAGGCATCCAGAGGTGAAATGGCTGAGTCAAGGTCATAAAGCAAGATGGTGGCAAAGTGATGCCTTTCTGAAGCTATCACGTTGAAAAAGGAGTTGAAGCTTGAGAGGTTTGCTAGAAAAAAAGTCCACAGTTGAAACTTTCATTCCTGTTAAGACTGCAAGTTCTTCTCCTCTTAGGGCTCCTCTCACATTATCTTCATGTTGTGAGAGCCACTGCAGCAAAAGCTATGTCAGAAGCTCTGGCCCTAATGGAAAGGTCCCATATTGCAGCTCCCTTTCCACAACCACGTTGTTCCAGTTACCAGGAGTGGCAGCGGCTCAGAGCTTCTCATGTTACTCTCACAGAAGTGAGAAGAAGCCACACTAAAGTGATCCCAGTGCCATGAAGTTAACGTGTCAACACGGTACCATTGTGGTGGATAGTGTATCAGACAGGGAAACCTGAATTCAAGCTCCTTCCCAGTTTAGAAGTTCACTAGTTGGGCCTTGTATTATCAAAACTTACCTAAAGAACCTATCATAGAATCACAGAGTTGGAAGATACCCTGAGGAACATCTAGTCCAACCTCCTGCAATGCAGGAACACGCAGCTGTCCCTTACGGGGTTTGTACCTGCAACCTTGGCGTTATCAGCACCACGTTCTAACCAACAGAGCTATCCTTGGGTTCCTCCATTAATATCTGGGAAGGGTCATAGCTCACTGGTAGAACACCTGCCTTACATGCAGATCTTAAGTTCAAACTCCAGCATCTCCAGGTAGGCCTGAGAATGTCTCCTGCCTGTGCAGCCGCTGCCAATCAATGCTGACAATACTGTGGAGTTTGGTAGCAGAGGATGGTTTCGATCCATCGACAAACCAATTGTCTCACTCAGTATGGCAGGTTCCTGTGTTGCAAGCAATAATCCTTCAAAAATGTTCCTGTTATTGGCTCATTTTCCATGGCTGGGCACCCTCCCTTGAAGACGGACCACCATTTAAAAGAAAAATGTAAGCAATTTGCCCATCTGCACAACATTATCTTTTTTAAAAAAACAAAAACCCAAAGAGATCAAAGAGCAGTCGAGTGGCCATGACAAAAGTGTAGCAAACTCCGACACACTCGGTAATTTTTCAAAGCCACACGTGCCTTTTCATTCATGTCCTTAAAGACCTCTCCTTCAAAAATTAATCCTGCAATTGCCTTGTCGGCTAAAATCCTCCATTTTTCAAATCAGTTTTTGAAAAATTGCTTTTGTAATGGCTGAATTTGGGATTAGCTAACACACATATCAAAAAGAAAAGGAGCTCATCTCTCTGTCTTAGAATGAAATGCGGTTGCTGGGAAAGTTGGGATAAAAAAAAAGAAACAAAGAAACCTGAGTACCATCTGTTCGTTTTTAATTGTAAACAGGGATAGGATTATCATCTATAATGGGAGAAAATGTTTCCTGTAACCTTCTATCTCTGCCTCAGTCTCCATAAATTTCCTTCAGATGTGAAAACATTTGGCACTTGCTAATTACATAGTGTCTATTTCATGGCAAAACTTTGGTGTTCTGGGTATTTCAAGGAAACAAGCAAAGAGGAAGCGTTTGTGACTTAACATGCATCACTCTTTTGAGTACCCTGTGCTTCCAGGTTTCACATGCAGTGCTGGGGAAAGAGGAAGAATTTCCCAAACTTGTGGAAGTTTTAAGTATCTCTGGGGGAGTTGGGGAGACAATATGTGCTCCTTCATCTTCACCCCTGACTTCACATAAGACCTTAATGCAGGGATAATAGTAATATAATAATAATAATAATAATAATAATAATAATAATAATAATAAAAAATTTTATTTATACCCTGCCCTCCCCGGCCAGAGCCTGGCTCAGGGCGGCTAACACCAATAACATCACAGTAAAAACATAATAGGGGAAAAAGAGAGCAGGGGGGAACCAATTTAAAATACAGGTTAAAATGCAATTTAAAATGCAGACTCATTTTAGAGTAGCTGATATTGGGGAGCCTCTGGCCCTCCCAATTATTGTTAGACTCCAACTCCCATCAGACCCAGCTAGCATGGCCAGTGGACAGGAGTGATGGGATTCATAGACCAGCAACATCTGGAGGGCCTCCCGCTCCTGCCCTAAAGTATGTGGAGATGAAGTACTCCAGCTTCTGCTCCCTTCCTTGAAACAGCCAAATGCAGCTCAGATACAGGGAGCATCTAAAGCGCCTCAGAGAGGTGAAGTAATTGCAGACCATACTATCATTCACTTGGCTTGTGGGCATAGCACACACACACAAGCCAACAAAGCAAGAAGACAGGGTGAAACGTCTCTCCTTTATTCTTCATCCAACAAGGAGTTCAAGGGAGTGTATTGGACAGGGAACCTCTTACCTTTTGCAAATAAAGCACAGTTCCTTTAAGAACAGCATAAAAGGCTTTCCATCCCCTCTTCCCTCGTGGAGCTATCAAAGTAGAACATGGACAAAAAATATATATGCATAAGTAACCATTGGTAATATAAATCAAGAGTGTGCTCTGTTCAGGATCTACCCCTTGTTTAATATGGGGGCAGGAACAGAAATAAGCAACAGTGCATATGTCTTGTTAATAATAGTAATAATAATAATAATTTATTTATACCCTGCCCATCTGGATGGGTTTCCCCAGCTACTCTGGGCGGCTCCCAATTGAATATTAAAAACACAGTACAGCATTAAACATTAAAAACTTCCCTAAACAGGGCTGCCTTCAGATGTCTTTTAAAAGTAGGATAGTTGCTTATTTCCTTGACATCTGATGGGAGGGCAGGTGCCACTACCGAGAAGGCCCTCTGAATACATCCTTGGAAGAAACATTGCTGTTAAACTCGTGATTCTACCAGCTACTTATTGATATGCCAGCCCTATTTTCACTGAAACCACTTCCTCCGAGACAGTGACAGAAAGCCCTTCAGTTTGGTAGAGGGTATGAAAATGGGTGCAAAGAAAGCCATTTGTCATGTCTCTCATGCTTGGTGTAGCCTGGGCCGGAATATGTGAGGGACTAGGGTTTAAGTAAGGAGCCAGGCCTAAGCAGGGGAAGCCATCATAGGTATAGGAAGTGATCGGCCTCCCCTTCAAGAAAGCCCTGGTGAAGAAGGGAGAGGGGAAGGGGGTTTTCTTACAGCTTGTCGGGTGCAAGAGAAATAGCCAGGTGAGAAATGGAGAGCTCTGGTGAAACAGCAAAAATATTCAGTCAGAGAGGAAGGGGCTGGAGCCCTACACTAACCCTCCCACCTCCTCCTTGTACAAGGCCTCGCTTACAAAATGCTCTGAGCATCTGGGGGCTCCCTCCTTGGTAAGCTTCACATAGATTTGTACAGTGTGAATGTTCCTTCAGTTCTCCTTCCAGCTTGCAAGGTGAAAAAGGCTGCTCTGAAACCCTGGACTCATCTGCCGGCACCCTTTACTTCCATTCCCATGCAGCAGTGGGGGCAAGTGAGTTGGACTGGGCAGCTGCACCCATGTAGCTTTCCGATCATTTCATCCTCTCCCCCCCCCCCCTTCTCCATTGCAGCATGTAGAGAAAACAGTTCTCATTGAAATGCACTCACTCTTCTTCCCATCCATATCAGCGTGGATTTTACGTGCCAGGAATCCAGTTTTGTATACAGCAGCATTGGGGTCGTGAGGAATGTCCAGGAAAGGGTTACCAGAATTGCCTATGCGGTTGCCAGACTTCGACTGAGTTCCATTATCCTTCTCGTCGGTACCATCCGAGGGGGATTTTTTCTTTTCTTCATCATCTCTAAAGCAAATTTGGAAAAACAACAACACATACATACATAGTAAAGGTAAAGGGACCCCTGACCATTAGGTCCAGTTGTGGCCGACTGTGGGGTTGCGGCGCTCATCTCGCTTTATTGGCCGAGGGAGCCAGCGTATAGCTTCCGGGTCATGTGGCCAGCATGACTAAGCCGCTTCTGGCGAACCAGAGCAGCGCACGGAAACGCCGTTTACCTTCCCGCCGGAGCAGTACCTATTTATCTACTTGCACTTTGATGTGCTTTCGAACTGCTAGGTTGGCAGGAGCAGGGACCGAGCAACGGGAGCTCACCCCATCACGGGGATTCGAACCGCCAACCTTCTGATCAGCAAGTCCTAGGCTCTGTGGTTTAACCCACAGCGCCACCCGCGTCCCTACATACATACATACATACATACACACACCTAAATTCAGTTGGCGAGCCCAATGCAATCTTTATCTTTTTAAAATCAGATTAAGGAGAGGAACACTTTTTTTATCACCTCAGCCTACCAAGTAAGTGGAAAGACACTTCCTTCATGTTAGGCGCTGTGGTCTAAAACGAACTGCAGTACTTCTAACATACACCTAATTTTAAACCTGCAAGAAATCTTATTAGTTTCAGCGGGATGGCTCATATATTTATATTTAGAGATATGAATCAGAACCAAAACCTCTGCACCATTCTCCTGGGGCTGAATGTTTTAATTCGTTCATATCAATATTTCTACCCCAAGAGAGCATTAACTATGTAAGACATGTAACTAGAGCCAGTGTGACGTAATGGTTAAGAGTGTTGGACTAGGACCTGGGAGGTAAAGGTAAAGGTACCCCTGCCCGTACGGGCCAGTCATGTCCGACTCTAGGGTTGTGCGCTCATCTCACTTAAGAGGCCGGGAGCCAGTGCTGTCCGTAGACACTTCCGGGTCACGTGGCCAGCGTGACGAAGCTGCTCTGGCGAGCCGGCACACGGAAACGCCATTTACCTTCCTGCTATAAAGCGGTACCTATTTATCTACTTGCACTTAGGGGTGCTTTTGAGCTGCTAGGTGGGCAGGAGCTGGGACTGAAAGACGGGAGCTCACCCCGCCGCGGGGATTCGAACCGCCGACCATACGATTGGCAAGTCCTAGGCACTGAGGTTTTACCCACAGTGCCACCTGCGTCCCTGGGAGAGCAGGGTTCAAATTCCCACTCAGCCATGGAACTCACTGCATGACCCTGGGCCAGTGACCATCTCTTAGCCTAACCTACTTCACAGGGTTGTAGTGAGGATGACATTGGGGGGACGACCATATACACCACCTTGAGATCTTTAGAAGATAAAGGTGGTATACTATCATCATCCTCATCATCATCACTGCTATATGCCACTGTTGTAAAAAAAATGCCAGATTTAGTGTTGTTAAGAAGACATCTCTCGCTTGAGTGTAAAGATTATGAAGGAACAGAAGGTAGAACATAGTTGTAAAGGCATGTAGGATTCCAGGTTTTTTTAAATGGCAAAATGTCGGAATGCTAATCGGGGCAGCAGCTCTCTGTGTATCATACATTTTTGACCAAGGACTTATTGACTCGGTTTAATCCTGCAAATAATGACTGCAGCAAACAACTTCAAGATTCTGGTTTAAAGCACAGAACAAGAGCGGTTAGACAGAGAACGCCTCTTGTCCAACTGACTGTCAACAAGTTCTCCCCCCCTGTTTCATCAGCAATGCACTAGTTCATTCTGTTCCAATACTACTGGAGTGACATCAACTAAGGGGAGCGAGGGCTGTTATTTGATCTAAAATGTAAGAGCCATCTGCTGCACCCATAGCAGCACAGCACAATGTTTCCCACAGGGCACAGGGCTCACTTTGGAGCACCAGTGGAGAGAGGCCACAGTCATCTGAATGAATGCTGCACCATACAGAGTCTGTCTAGCCCAATGTAGTTTGCTCCAGTTGACAGCAATTCACTAAGGTCAGAGAGAAAGAAAGGCCTTTCTCAGGCCTACAACCTGGATGCCTTCTTGGTAGGAGAGCCTAGATCTGGGATAGGTTTGTTGCCACGGCTGTAGAAAAGCCATACATGTATTCTGTCTTTCTCTCTGTGCTGAAATCAGTCACAGCCCAGGTCTCAATTAAGAGAACTGCTATCTAAACTATAAAATGCACACTTTGAAGACATCTTTCCTGGTGGAAATTCTGTCATCTTAAGGAGTCTGACATAGATGGACTATAACTCAGTCCTCTGCAATATCTCCTTTGCTTCCTAACTGTAGGGGGGAAAAACACAGCAGCCGTCACTTATTTCGAGTTTTATCAGCTAATGCTCATTTCCCCAAGCCCCTTGGCCCTAATCAAGAAAAGCAATTCTACCCTCTAAATGTTAAGATGTTTATAAATTACTCCAAACAGAACCAAGTAATTTCGCAAGTGTCCTTGTCAAGTGTGGAGTACCTGTATAATGTCAGGAGTTCGGGTGGTGTAGACTGTACAGAATATGCTTGCTGATCAAACAGGTTGGATAGCTCAGTTGGTTAGAGTGTGCTGCTGATAACGCCAAAGTCACAGGTTCAATCCCCAAAAAGGACAGCTACATATTCCTGCATTGCTGGGGGTTGGACTAGATGATCCTCAGGGTCCCTTCCAACTCTAAGCTTCCATGATTCTATGAAAGTAAAAAGCTACCTCATTTAACTTTGGTAACTTGGCCATCTGCTTCAGCACTGTCTATCCTGACTGGTAGTGGCTCTTCAAAGAGGTCTTTCCTGTTAATCTAGTGCCAAGACCATTTTAGACAAAGATGCTGGAAGCATTCTTCATGCAAAGGATCTGCCCAACCACTGAGCTGCAGGGCACTCTCAAAACAAGTTCTAGTCCTATAAGTCTGATTCTGTAGATGTCAGTAGCCACTGAGAAAACTACATTTCCCAAAGGCCTTTTAAATCTTGTGTTCCAGTGCTCCAGCCCCAAATAATTGTTTTCTGGCAGAGATTCTTCTCTGGCCCATAATTCTTTGGCTCCAGAACTGGAAAAGAATTTGGAGTTTGGAATTAAGGTCCAAATGCACTCACCTCTTCTTTGTGATGAACATTATGAACCTGCAAAGCCCATATCCAAGCCGGAGAGGTATGAGTTTCACTAAGGTAATAGGGGAGAGGCTTCCTCTCCATTACGGAGGGATTTGCCCAACAAGGGAGCTCTTGGCAAAGGAACTGCAATCTAAACTGCACTGTTCTAAAATGGTATAGTTAAAAGAACACAGAGTTCTACCCACCCTCTGTCATCCTCTGCTACACCCTGCCCCCCCCCCATCCTGGTCATTTGCCTTCTCGCTTCTCCACCTTCCCTGGTTATTCAGGGCAGTCTCCACGATGACATATGTGTCCTAAATTGGCTGGTTTCTACTGCATGATGCTATCACAAGCAAGATGGCCCTAGAAAACTGGGTACTCTTGGAAGTGCCACTGAGAGGGAAACGGCTTTCTCCGTCAGTAGAGAAGAAGAAAGAGGAGAAGGGAGGTAAGTTCTTGTGGCCACTCTTAAGTACATGGATGAAGGTTAAATGAAGGACAGGATAGAAGGCAGAGTTCAGACAGTGGAGGCTGGCAGCTGATTTCAACAGTGATGAAACCACATGTCAAAAGCAGCAGATGATTTAAATGAAAATCCTGAAGGACCACAGCTACTCCAACGGTCTGCTTTTAGGTACCATTGTAACTGCACTTGCCCACATTCCCCTATCCCAAAAGTCATCCCTGCCTCTCATCCCTCTCATTCCCACCCTGCCTGCCCCCCCCCCAATTGGATGCTCCTTGAAGTGAGGGTCTTGCCTATTTTTTCCTCTTTGTAACTGTACACTAATGGGACTGTATAAATAATAATACATAATAATAATTAACTTCCATTATCATCAGGAGCAATTTGATAGTGACTGCTACTGTCATGGGAGTGCAAAGGACTCAGTAATACTGAACGGGTAATTATGGCATCTTTCATCCCGCAAACCACCATCAGTGCAGGAATAGAGCCTGCAGATGTTTCACTGCAGTTGGTGTAACTTGAAAGCTCTTAGAGCAGCAATAGCTGGCTCCATAAAAGCAGCCTTCTTACCAACATCAAAATGGGCACGGCTGCATTTAAACTGACATCCTCTGTTCTGCCACAGCCTTCACACAACAGCCATGATTCTCTCTCACTACAGAAAGCACCAGCATCATAAGGAAGTCAAGCAAGCAGGGATGACAGAGAGGAATGATTAAAGTGTCTTGGCAGACACTGGACTCCTCATGCTTGGCTTTGAATTCCAATTGTTAGCTTCCTGAAAGCAGCCGAAGTGGGGTACATTAGGCCTTCCGCAATTAATTATCTTTGATATCAGTTCGTTGTCAAGCTATCCATAGTTAATCAAGAGACAAACACGAGACAACAAGCCAACAGGAAGAAATCTGACCCGAGACGTGTTTTCTACTCAGCAAGTTCTGACACAATGTCCTGGAAGATAAAAGGCCGAAAACTAAGCACGTGTTTTATTCATGCTGCCACAGATTAACTGAGGATTTAATTTCTCTCTCTAAGATGAAGTTTCCGAGCCAAATAAAAATGTCCTCCACCCTTACAAGTGGCCTTTCATCGCTAACAACTCGTTTTGCTAGCCGGAGTAACAGCAGGCATGTGGATTTCAGGATATAATAAGGGTTTGACAACCTGCGCTCTTGTTACAGCTTTGAGGACAGCTCATCCAGTGTTCTGTGGACCAGGGAGTTAAGGTCCAAATGCACAAATCAGCACATTTTCCTGATGTGCAATCTCCACTATTTCAAAAAAATCCCATAAAACACCATCAATACAGCACATCTGTAAGGCAGAGTAGAAACTCTGAAACTGTGCCATGAGAAGAATTATCCATCAAGGACACATTTCCCATTGGAACAACAAAACTCAGTGCAGCAGAATGATCTCCCCTCAACCAGTAACATGAGCAATTGCATAATCTCAAGGGAAGGAACAAAGGGCCACTGCGGTTTCTGGATACACATTAAACAACTTGGGACTAGGGTATCTAGCGGACTGCCTTCTCCTGTATGTTCGCTGCTCGGCCCCCTTGAGAGCACTATGCCCCAGAGGTGTCCTCATCTTGTACCAGAAACCAGGTTCTTGGCGTCATAGCTCCAGTTCTCTGCAATCGATCACAAGCCGAAATTAGGAGACACCTACTGTCATGATGTTTAGATGCCTATTAAAGACATTTTTCTTTAAGAAGGCTTTCTGAAATGACCCAGTCATTTGTGGCACAGTTGTATCTCTCAATAAATTGTTTTCTTGCTTTTAGAAGTTGTGTGTTTGAATTTTATTTTGTTGTTTATCTCATGCGCCACTTCAATGGGCTCTATGTTATGAAGCAGTCTATAAATCTGTTAAATTACTACGGCAACAAAAAAACAACAATAATTAAAAAGCGTCTCCAGTGCTTGAGCACAAGTGACTAGGCAAAGGGGAGGGCAGGAGTCGAGGAGGCAATAAGCATCAAACTGCCCTGAGTGTATGTACAAGGCATTTGTTTTGAGAGACAAAAATTACATATGCATTACAGGCAGGATTATTGTAATGAGCTAGATGAGGCTTACTTTGAAGACAGTTTGAAGACTTCACTTAGTGTAGTATGAGGCTACTTAGATTACCAACTGGGACTGGGCATTATGAACCATTTCCAGATTCAATTGAAAGTGGCAGTCTAAGAACATCAGAAACTGCCTTATAAAAAGTCAGACCACTGGTCCATCTCACTCAGTGCTGACAACATCGACCATGCTCTTACCATTGAGCCGTGCCATTCCCCAAAGTTTGAACCTATAAAGCCCATCATGATTTAGGAGAGGAAGAACTTGAAGAACCACGTGTCTCCACATGCATGTAGCTGTACATGAAGATCTTTGGGGCAGGGTCTCTTGCAAGTGACTTTGCTGAGTGAGGTAGGTGGCTACTGGGCAGAGCAGGCCTTCTCAGTGGTGGCTTTTATGATTCTGTAACTTTTAGTTTACTGGCGTTTTGTATTTGCACTTTAATTGTTTTATTCTGGGAACAGTCCTGGAAATAAGATTGGAAGGTGACCATAAATAAATAAATTTTGTGTGTGTGAGTGAGTGAGAGAGAGAGAGAGAGAAGATAGCTCAGTTGGTTAGAGTGTGGTACTGATAATGCCAGGGTTGCAGGTTCAATCCCCGTATGGTACAGGTGAATATTTCTGCATTGCAGGGGTTGGGACTAGATAATCCTGTCTATCAAATGTCTGTTTTACAGTGTTTAAGTGCTTCTCAAAACATACTTCAGTAATCCTTGCAACACTACTGTAAGGTGTTGTCAGCATTATTATCCTTACATTGCAAATAGAAAGAAAGACTGAAGCTGAGAAGTGCTTGGTTTGGCTAAGGGCCACCTAATGAGTTCTTGGCTTGGGCTGGATTTGAACCCGTGACCTTTCAAGTCCACTGCAGCTCGGTCTCTTAATTGGCATACTGTACTAGCTCTCCTGAATGAATAATGACTATACAGAAAATGAATGCAAGAGGACTTGGTGGGTTGCTCCCCTGGATTGCTGGGGTGGATTTCTGCAAGATCTAGAATCTGTTCCATATGCTGCCTGCATATCAAGCGGAATGCCATAACAGGCGTCATTTTTAAAACTCATTAATTCTGCACAATATACTTACACTGCCCACTCAAGCTTCTCATTTTTGATTGAATTGTAGAGAGCCTGTAAAAGGAAAGGAAGAAGAAATTACTGGGTTCGTCTTGACCGCACACAGAAGATTGCTGATTTTTTTTATTTAGAAAAAAAAGACCTAAATGTCACAAGCAAGCTGCTTTTGATCATGAAAGCACCCATATAAGGCAAAATCAAGCACAAATGAAATATTATTCAAGAGCAGGGTGGCACAAATGTGCTTGCCATTTTTTAATTCTGCTGAGAGCACTCGCTTTTTACCCAAGTCGAGAGAGCAGCAGATGGTCTCTGTGACCTTGCACTGACTTTGGAGGCTCTCCAAAGTCACACTGAGATGTCACACTGACTTCCAAGGTCCTCAAAGCCATAGAGTGAAGGTCAAAGTCCCCACCAACCCCCTGCCCAGTCTAGAACTGGGTAGGATGAGGGAGCTTATGCTGGGCCCCAAAGCTCAGCATTAGATCACTGAGAAAAGCTGCTCTCCGCTTTTGGAGGAAGAGCAGGGTCAGTGATGGACAGCAGAAATACTAGGCAATCAAAATTTGCTGACCCTTCAGATCAAGGAAGAATGAATAACTGTTGGTATAAATGTGTATAGAATTTTGGGGTTCCGTCCTGCAAATAAGAGAAATCAAAAGCAATGTCCTGAACAGTGATATGCCACAAACCAAGATTAATGCTGGATTGTTTACAGGGTTAGGAAACCAGCAATCCACACTTTGCTTCTAAGCTTTCCTGGGGCTTTCCATTTGGAGCCACAACACACAGCCTGAGCTCAATCCTTTTTTTTTTAAGCAACACATTTGACTTCTCCAGACACAGGTAAAGGGTCTCTTTAACCCTATGCCCCTCCCTAGCTGAACAGTGACACAGG